AAATGATAAATTTTATGTCACATATATTTTATCACAATAAAAAAAAAGAATAACCAACGACTCTGTTGAACAGAAGGATCATGCTTATTATAAAGTTCCCATCACAACTACTTAGTTTATCCTCCGCCAATGACTATCAGGAACACACCTGAATTTATATAAATTTTTGCAGTGACAGAGAACACACATGATAAAAACCCTGAGACATCTCAGTAAGAAGGTATCAATAGTTATTATAAGATTTGCTCTTATGTTAGGGGATTTGGGGGAGAGTTTAGGAAGTGGGTCTTTGCTCTGATTTGGATGCTGTCAGAAAGTAGTGAAGTGGGTAATTCAATGAGTATATTTTTTTACAGTAGTTTTAAATTTTTAGTTATTTTTATTTTTTATTTAAATTTTTTTTTCATTTTTTTCAGTTACAGTTGACATTCAATATTATTTTATATTAGTTTCAGGTGTACGGCATAGTGGTTAGACATTTATATAATTTATGCAGTGATACCTCGATTAGCCTAGTCCTCTCCCCCACACACACACTATACACAGTTATTGCAACATTATTCAATGAGTGTCTTGATAAATCTCATCTGGAAGCAGGAGTGGCTAGACTAAGGCTAGAGCTGCAATAAGTAAGTAAAGAAGCAGTGGAAGTGGGGGATGTTGGATCATTTTGTGGCATGGACAATATTAATATTTTGTCTATTTTCAGATCTGATTATAGAGGGCTTATTTTATTATTATTATTATTACTCATCAAGGTCACAGAGTAGCCTTATCTAATGTTTTGTGAACATATTTATGTTCAACAGATGAACACAAAGGCCTGGCTGATAGTACCAGGAGAACTCCTAGGTATTAGGGACTATTTTTCTCTTTGTCATCCATAAGTAATAGGACACAGCCCAATCTATTGGGTTGTTGGAAAAGTCATGACATATTTTTTTCTGTTTTTCGTTGCAAAAATGTGTCATGACTTTTCCGACAACCCAATAATTCATCTAGAGTTCCAAACATCCTCATTTAGTAGACCTCTGTCAATGACAGATGTCATTCACAACTGTGATATGAACTTCCCATCCGTAAGATTTTACACTTTGTGGCACGGACAGATGGATGCACTAAAGCAAATTATATGCCTGCATGTGCAAGCTCAGCAGTGTTCTTGCACAAGTATGCCCTGCAAAACCTTTTGTGTCCTCCTGCCCTTCTGAGACAGTTCCTCGGGTACACAGACGCAAAGACAATCCCTGCTGCAGAGTAACTCACTCAATTTGCATTTCTCTCCTGACTTTTCTTGCACACCCCGAAGGCAATTTTCTCTAGGGCTGTCAGTCAGGCACAAGTAATGCGGTGGGACACCTCTAACACTTTAGAGAAAGAGATTCTGAGAAGAAAAGTCAGATAATGAGTTCTCAGTCTAACCCTAGCCCCTAGAACAGCAGCTCAGCTGTGGAAGAGTGCCTTAGAAACCTGGGCACAGCGAGAGAGGCGGGGCAAGTTCCTGGCTATTCACGGAGCTCTGAGCAATGCCCAGTACTGGGAAGCAAAGAAGTAGGGACAATGGCT